GAGGACCCAGAATGAAGGCAGTCATCTGGAAGCCAGAAGGACAGCCCTCTCCATAACCCAACTGTGCTCTCAGAGTCCAGCGTCCACAAGGACAGAAAATAGATCTCAATGTAGAAACCACCCTGCCTGCAGTGTTTTGTTCTGGTGGCCCTGAACTGACAATGCACTGGGCAAGATAGTTCACCTCTGTGTGTCCCAGTGCACCCTTGTGTGCCAGGTAAGGATAATAATCATACTATCCCCATAGGTTTGTTTGGAGCATTAAATAAGGTGTCATCTGTGAATCACTCAGAACAGAGCCTGGAGGATGAAAGTATGAAGTAAGTATTTATTAACTAAAACACAGAATTAACTGCTGACATGTTTTTTTTGGTGACAGGTGCTGAGGAAGACACCTGAAGCAATGCTCAAGGCAGCCCTGTGAGGTGCGCACTAACATTCCTTCATTTTTAATTTAGGAAACAGGCTTCAGAATTGTGCAGTCACATAGCCTGTGAAAGACACACCAGGATTTACGTTCCGTCTGTTGCTGGACAATTTGGAAAAGAGCCTCCTAGGCTGTCCTGATTCAGAGTCTTTGAATATGGCCTTAGTCAATTCCAGCCCTATGCAAGTCCCCACCGTGGGTTGCCAGATGTAGCAGCCTCATTTGGAGGCAGGATGGCAAGATGGTTGAAACACGGGATATGAAGTCACACCTTGGCACAGTTTGGATATTGACTCCCTTTCTCCCTATCTATTTGACCTTGGAAGGGTTTTTCTACCACAATGGAGGCCCAGGATCCTCATCCGTAAAATGGACACAAAACACCACTAATACCATCAGGTTGTTGGGAAGACACTGAGACACGCATGGAAGAGCTTAGCACCTTGGTTGAGATCTGCCTGCAACCCTTTGTATCTGATGTTCCTCCTGGAACACCCTTCCCTCAGATACCCCCTATCTCACTGTGTCATGTTCTTCACCTCTTTTCTCAAAGACAACTTTTCTGTGTGACTTTTCCTTACTACTCACTCTACTTAAATTTGACCCCCACTCCCAGCACTCTTCACCGCCTATTCACCTTTCCTGCCTTATTTATCATGATCTCTTTCAACTATTCCTTGCACACAGATGTTCATGCATTTATTTTCTGTCTATCTCCCCCAACACTAGATGATGATTTCCAGGAGAACAAATAGCTTTGCCTGTGTTATTTACCACTGTATCCACCATCCCTAGAATAGTGCCGGGGGCATAGTAGGTGCTCACGGGGTATTTGTTGTCTTTTATAATTTTAATGTTTTATTTATTTCTGAGAGAGAGAGAGAAGGGGAGAGTTAGAGAGAGAGACACACAGAATCTGAAACAGGCTCCAGGCTAAGAGCTAGCTGTCAGCACAAAGCACAACGCGGGGCTTGCACTCACTAACGTGAGGACATGACCTGAGCCGAAGTCGGATGCTAAACGACAGGCACCCCAGGAAGTATTTCTTGAATGAGTGCATGAATGAATGCATGAGTAGTTATTGGCATCACTTAGCAGAAGATGGCTTTGAACTCAGCCCAGATTCATCTTGACCCCTTGTCCACCACTATGGTCTTCACGTGCAGACTCAGACCTGGTTCCTAAGCAGACCCTACCCTCTTCCCTTCAATGTCTCTCCTGGGCCCCGGAAGCTCATGTTTCCACTGCTGGATGCAAATCCTTGGTTGCAGACACAAGAGTAGCTTCCAGGACGGTTGTGGCAAGTCGCATGCTGCGGGCAAATTCTGGGACTGGCACATTCATCCACATCTGGCCAGTGGAGATGAAAACCCAGGACAAAGCAGATGAGGAAATGACAGTAGGGGCCTACAAACAGAGAGTCACTGTACATGTCCTCTCCTTACTCCTCATCTCCCTTGCACCTAGGCTTGGCCACAAGAAGAAAGTCTGACCCAATGTGTATAGGTGGAGGGTGGTAAATGGCTCCAAAACAGACGAACATAGAATGGCTGTGCTCCTTTACTCCTCCCTGCACCCACACCATGGGATGCAGATGGTGCAGTGCAAAGTGACTTTGCCATTCTTCTTTTGTAATGGGAGCTTGTTTCCTCACACCTTGAAACTAGCTTGAATCTAGGTAGACTATGATGGTCACTCTCCAATAGAACACAGCAGAAATGATGTGCCAGTTCCAAAATGAGACGTCTAGACACTTGTTTATTCTGCTCATTCTTTAAGCCCTTTCTTGTGCCATATGAAAAGCCCTAGACTGCCCTAATGAAGAATGAGAGACAAGGTGGAAAAGAGATGGACCAGCCCTGTGGAGCCACCTGACAGGTAAGCCAGTCCAGCCATGCCGAGCAAATATGACACAGCTGACCACAGACACAGGAACAAGCCCAGTACAGACCCAAGCACTGGCCACTGGAGCACAACCAAAATTTCCAATGCACAAAATACGAAACAACTGTATAGTACTTGTTTCTAGCCACTGACATTCAGGGTGGTCTGTTTTCCAGTAATAGCCAACTGCTACAAAAGTATCAGAACAACCAGACAGGGCTTCAAACATCTCGGACTCTAAGCTAAGAGGATGTGATAAGGACTTGATCACTCCATGCCTTGCTTGATGGAGTCACCTTCCCTACAAATGAGCATGGAGAACAATAGTTCTGAACCAGACCCAGGAAACAGAGCCCTTGCATCTTGTGAGAAAATCTGGCAGTGGTTTGAGAGGATGGATTCAAGGGGACAAGTCTGGAGGAAGGAGACGCCTAGGGAGGAGGCTGCTAAAATAATGATGAAGCCTGAACCAAGGGTGAAGAAGAATGGACAGATTCAAGACATACTTAGCCAGTAAATTCCCCAAGTTACGATGACTGATTTACTATGTAAGGTGTGGAGTATGAGGGTGGAGAATAACCCTGAGGTCTTGAATCAAATCCATTTTAGGAAAAAGTTCTGAAGTTTGAGTCTGAGTTCACCCTAGGACAGAGTTTTCTACCTCAGAACTAATGACATCTGGGACGAAATTAGGCTTGGTTTTAGGGAGGGTGTTTTGGGCATTGCAAGGTGTTTAGCAGCATCTTTGGCCTCTCCTCACTAGAGAATAGTAGCACCCACAAAAAACCTTTACACCACCAGTGGAAATAAATTGCTCTAGGGACAGAGTCCCCCATTACCCACAGGTACTGTCCTATCCACTGCTGGACTCAGAGTAAACCCACAGCTGGAATTCCCATCCTTGCTCTTCCTCTAAATATCTGAGTATCTTTGGGGAAGTTACTTCAACGGTCTGAGCCTTAATGTTCTCATCCCCAAAATGAAGAATGTAACAAGAACCGCACAGGATCATCAAGTGAGGTGGTTGTTAATTAATTAAGTAGGTATAGGAAGAAAAGCAGGTCCTCTGTAACTTCAGAGATCAACTTGTGAGAGATGAATCCAACCTGGCAGCTACAATTGTGGCTTCCCTAGGAGGTGGTACACTCAGCATGCTCTGGGTGACTCCACTGGACAGGCATTCATTGATGTCTGAGGAGCAGTGGAGGAGAATGAGCAGACCAAAGGTTGTGTGTCAACAGTGAGAAACATATGTACCACCCAGTGGTCACTGTCCACCAAAGACCCATGTCTGAGAGAGTTACCTTTGCATGAGAAATGGCCCAGCTTTATCGAGGTCCAGTCATTTCCAGTGGGAGAAGAGAAACCAGGCAAACAGCTACACTTGTACCTCCCTGGCAGGTTTCTGCAGATTGAGTTGGGACCACATGCTTGGGGGTTTTGAGAACATTCATCTATATCTGGACACAGAAAGAGTTGGAGTTACAGATTTGCTTCATCTTGTGTAGCAGACTGTATTTTCAAAGATGGCGGGAATAGTGTCTTCCAGGCCGTACACCCTGCCTTTATTCTATGAATTTGTACTCTTTCCAGCAGGCAATGGGGTCTATGTTCCCTGCTCTTGAATCGGAGCATGCTGGGACTCTGAGCTGGTGGCAGTAGGTCATAAAGATGATGCACCTCCTCCTTAATCTCTTGAGATGCTCATTCATGGAACTTAAAAGCCATAAGTGAGGAATCCCAACACGCCATGAAAAAGCAGCTTCCATGGAGAAGAACCATGAGCCCGGCCCACAGCCCTGGTGGAGCAGCCAGCCCAAGGCAGCAGCAGCTCACCAGCCTTGAGGGTGTGCTCTCTGGGTAATGGATTCTCTACCCCAACATGAGGCAACTCATCTGACACTGCGTGGAACAGAGAACAGCCATAGTCACCGAAATCAATTCAGATGCCAGACACGTTTATGAACAAGATAAATGATTGTCATTCTTTTGATGTATTCAGTTTTGATGTACTCAGTTTTGATGTACTCAGTTTGATGTATTACGTATCTACCCAGGAGTAGATAATAAAGAATTACTTGCAAAGCATTGAGAGACCCTTAAAATTGAGCATTCACGGTGCCATGGGGAGGCCCAGCTCGAGTCTCCTTAAGAACTGGTTGGCCACATCACCTAAACACTCGCTGTGTAATTCTCACGCAAATATAACCTCAAGGCAATTCTCTTAGAGCTCCTCCCAGAAAATCGTGCGTCTAGACCGAAAACTGGAGCCGCTCCGGGACGTCAAGATCAGATCACAGGAATGTTCATCCCACCTTAGTTTGAAGTAGTAAAACATGAGAAACAACTGTTAATGAGAGATTAAATCTGGAGTTGACATAGAGAATAAGGCAATGTGCTCCTTTATTCAACACAAATCCACTGAATACTCACAATGTATTAGGCACCAAACTGGGATCAAAGGCATAAAGGGGATGAAATCCTTGCTGTAGTATCCATTATTTTCTAGATGGAGATTATCGATTTCAAGCCAAATTGAAAAACCAGGGTCTATCAGGACTACTGTAGCTTACCAAATGACCCATGAACTGTAACTCAAAGATAAAGAGTTGAGGGCTCCCTGGATATTACAACAATAGAAACGAATAATCTTATTCAGAGCCCAGCGAACTACAACTCCTAGGTCAAGTCCAGTCCACCACTTGTTCGTATAAATGAAGTTTTATTAGAACAAACCCACATCCACCCATTTGGGTATCATCTATGGTTGCTTTTGCACCATGACTGGAGTATTAAACAGTCATGACAGAGATGACACAGCTTGCAGCTACCAAAATGTTTACTATTTGGCCCCTTGCATTAAAAAGTTTGATGATTCCTTGTCTTATGCAGAGGCACAATCTGACTTTGACTGTGAAGGAGAAAAGTGGGATAAAAATATGAGAAATACAGACAACAAATATCACTCATTCAGGAGATTATGTCAGTATGTATTACTTGTGTGAACAGCAGCTCTTGAGAGAATACATGTGCCTAGCACACTATGTACTTTATTACGCTTAATTTTCCCAAGTATCCTTTGAGGTAGGTACTCTTATACACTCATTCTGCAGATGGAAACATTGAGGCTAGGAGAGGATAAAAATATTTCCCCACCACCTCACAACTTGAGTGTGGCAACTAGGTAATACGGTTCAGAAACTGCCTTGGGAGTTAGAAACACCTGATTTGGAGTCAGTTCAACCACACAGCTGTGACCAGGTCATTTCAGCACTCCAAGCCTCAGTTTTCCCGTGTGCACAGTGGAGATCATCACAATGCCTACACTCAAGTTTCATGAAAAATGTGCATAAATCCCTTCATTGGGGGCCTGGTGTTCAGTGAATTTTAGAAATTCTTGTTTTCTTCATGGAGAGACAACCAAAATGAATCAGTGGTTATTTCTGGATATTGAAAAATGGCATGATTATATATGGTGACTATATGTGTGTGTGTATATACATATACATATACATACATATATGTATACACTATATATATATATATAGTTCCTGGAACATATGGTACAGCTAGTGAGGAAAGACATGTACAGTTTCAAACATGATTAACGTGAGTACAAAAATTGAATAACATATGACTGTGACCTCAGTCCTATTCTACAGCATAATGTAAGATTTCATATATCCTTATGGGAAAAATGTAATGACAGTCTCTTTTCTTAAGTGGGAGTGTTTTACTATTATTCACAGGGAAATAGTATGTCTTACATGCATTATATTTTGAAATTATGATCTGAAAAAGTCAACATGTATATTCTTCATCTAGGTAACATCATCTTTCCAAAATAAAGTGCTATCAGGTAAAAAAAAAAAAAAGAAAAATGGCATGATTTTTACTTTTATTTTCATCCTAATGTTAGTTCTAAATAGTTGGAATTTTTAGTGTGCAGGGATCACTGTCATAATAGAAAAAGAAAGATGAAAAGGGCCAGGGCAGGAGAGAGGGAGAAAATAGTGTTGGGACAAAGAAAAAGTACCTATGTCCACAACCCAGCTAGCTTCCACCTGATCATCCTACAAAATTGCGGAGGGCTTGAGGGAGTGCATCCTCACCTTCACAGGTCAGTCCTGGGCCCCTGAACTGCGTCAGTCCATTGCTGGGCAGAAAGCCTTGTTTGCAAGTGCAGTAGTAACTCTCCACGGTGTTGGTGCAGATCGCATAAGCTGGGCACACGGTGGTGTCCTCACACTCATTCACATCTGGGCAGGACAGAAGGAAGAGATTGGGTGAGGGCTCCAGGGTGGGCATCAAGGGGAAGCAGGATGAGAGGGTGAAGGGGACTGTTGTGGGCTGAAATATACCCCCCCTCTCCCACCAAATATGCTGAAGCCCAAAATCCTGGTACCTGAGATATAACCTTATTTGGAACAGGGTCTCAGAACATGTAATTAAGACCCAAACTAGGGTGAGATCCTACCTGAGTTGGGTGGTCCCTTAATCTGATATGATTGGCGTATTTATAGGAAGAGGAGGAGAGATACAGGCCCAGGGAGAACACCACGTGATCACAGAGGCAGAGGCTGGAGTGATCCACCTTCAAACCAAGCAACACCAAGGAACACCAGCCACCCCAGCTGGGTGACAGGCACAGAACAAATTCTCCCTTAGAGCCTTCAGAGAAAGCTTGGCCCCGTGCACACCTTGATTCAGACTTCTGGCCCCCAGAACGGTGAGAGAATAGAGTTCTGTTGTTTTAAACACCCTGGTTTGTGGTAACAGCGGTCCTGAGAAACCGCTCAGTGCTGACAAGGACCTTGGACACCCTAGAATTCTCCTGTTCTAAATGCAGTTCATGGCCAGGAGCATCAACACAGCCTGGGAGGTTGATGGAAATGCAACATCTCGGGCCCCTGTCCCAGAACTGATGAATGAGAACCCGCATTTTAGCAAGACCCCAGGGTGATCTGTGTGCACATGAGAGTGTGAGAAGCACTGATGTTGGCATTGCTACTCTGGGTGTGGTCCTCGGACCAACAGCATCTGCCTCACCTGCGTCCCGGATCTGGAAAAAGAAGATGCTGATTCTGCAGGTCTGGGAAAGTGCCTGATATTCTGCATTTCTCACAAGCCCCTGAATGACGCTGATGCTGCTGGTCCATGGACCACAACACGAGCATCAGAGCTCTAGACACAAGAGTTTGGTCAAAATGTCAACCTTTGGAGCACGGAAGACCTTCTCTAAAGCTCCAGCAGTCAACCTCCAAGGAGAGAATGGCAGCTGTCCTCACAGACCTATCTCCTCCTCTTCCTTTTAGTAACGGGACCATCCTGTTAAAGACTGCATCCCCAGGGTCTCCTGCAGCTCATGTGAGTACGTTCTGGCCAATGGGCATGCGTGGAAGTGACATGTGCATGCTCTTGAAAATAAACATGTTGGGGCACGTGGGTGGCTCAGTGGGTTAAGCGTCTGACTTCAGCTCAGGTCATGAGCTCACAGTGAGTGAGTTCCAGCCCGTGTCTGGCTCTGTCAGCTCAGAGCCTGGAGCCTGGTTCTGATTCTGTGTCTCCCTCTCTCTTCCCCTCCCCTGCTTGCACTCTGTCTCTCTCAAAAATAAATAAACATTTAAAAAATTTTTTAATATTTTTATTTATTTCTAGGAGAGAGAGAGACAGCATGAGCAGGGGAGGGTCAGAGAGAGAGGGAGTCACAGACTGAAACAGGCTCCAGGCTCCGAGCTGGCAGTCAGCACAGAGCCCAGTGCGGGGCTCGAACCCATGAACCGCGAGACCATGACCTAAGCGAAAGTCAGACACTTAACCAACTAAGCCACCCAGGCACCCCAGACATTTAAAATTTTTAAAGAAAGAATAAACATGCTGTCCACTTCACTCTTCCACTTCCCCCTGGGCGGGAACATGGAGAGAGTGGGCTGATCTACCCTTAACCCTGCGGAGGATGGTTTGGGAAACCATCATGCTGAGGGATGGAGAGGCAGCAAGGTGGAATGATCCCATGAACTGGCCAGCCTGGTCACTCTGTTCCACCTGTAAGTTAGAGATTTATAAGAATGAACTTCTAAGAAATAAATGCCTAAGTTGTTGTTTGGTTACTATAGAAACAGTCAAAACTACATCCTAGCCAGTCAAGCTCTGGAAGACAAATGACTTCACCTCTCTGTACCTCAGTTTACCTGTTTAGCCCTCACCCTCACATCCAGTGGGACCCCAAGCCCTGTTGTTCTCTACCCAAATAGTATTGGACACCTACACACTTTTCTCCATCACCACAGCTATGCTCATGGTGGGTTCTACATCCCTGTGTCTTCCGATGTACCCTGCAATCTCTCTTCCACATAGTAGTCAGCTCTGAATGCACATTTGACTATCTGCCCCCACCTCTGCCTGCAGTGCTCCCTGTTGCACTAGAATTAAAGTCTAAATCACTCGAACAGGACCCACAAGCCCCAGTGACCAGACCCAACCACATCTTTAAGCCACATCTCATGTAAGTCTCCATATCTAGACTTCCTGCTACAGAGCCTTTGCACATTCTATATCCTTTGCTTCTGCCTTGCCTGCCCAGCTCCTACTCATTCTTCATGTCTTGCTTAAGTGTCATTTCCCCTAAAAGCTTCCCCTGTGCTCTGTGTTCCCCATCATAGCCTCCTGTGCTCCTTCTTTATGACACTTATCATAATTATAGTTGCTTGAATATTTGTATGGTCAGCTTTCTAGTAATCATATCCCCCACCAACTGTGAGCTCCAAAACAAAGCCAGAGTTGGAGGCAGGTTTCTCGGTGATTGGGAAGAAACTTATTTGATACTATCATTCCTGTGTTCAGCAGAATGATGGCCCCTCCTAAGATGAGCATATTCTTTTTTTTTTTTTTTCCATTCATCCGTCAATGGATTTTGGGCTCTTTCCATACTTTGGTTATTGTTGATAGTGCTACTACAAAGATTGGGGTGCACGTGTGCCGATCATGTCCTTTTCGTAAATATTTACTTACTATTTTTGAGGGAGAGACAGAGACAGAGAGAGCAGAGAAAGGGTATAGAGAGAGGGAGGCAGAGGATCTGAAGTGGGCTTAACGCTAGCCGCAGAGAGCCTAATGTGGGACTTGAACTAATGAACCATGAGATCATGACCTAAGCTGAAGTCGGGCATCCAGCTTCACACAGTTGGTCACACAGGTGCCCTCAGATATGACCGCATCCTAATCCCGGGAACCTGTGCTGTGTGGCAAGAAAGAACTATGGATTCCGATGGAATTCGCTGATCCTGGGATGAAATGGTTATTCTGGGTTACCCAGATGGGGTGAGGGTAATCACAAAGGTCTTTAAAAGTGAAAGATGAAGCCATGAGAGGCAAAGTGACGCATTGTGAGGAAGACTTGGCCAGTCACTGCCAGCTTTGAAGATGGAGGAAGACGGACATAAGACAAGGAATCCAGGTAACCTCCAGAAGCTGGAAAAGGCAAAAAGACACATTATCTTCTAGAATCTCCAGAATGGAACTCATCCCTGCTCACACCTTGATCTTAGCCAACCAGGACCCACTTTGGACTTCTGACCTCCAGATCTGTAAGGTAAACTTTGTGGTGATTTGTTATAGCCGCCGTAGGAAACTCATACAATTCCCAATATACAGATGTGGACGACTGAGTCTCAGTGAGGTAAGTAACTTCTCCAAGGACTGTCAGCTGGGGACTGGCAGCCCCAGGCCTGTCCAAACCTGGAGTGTGTGATTTTCACTACTGCTACCCAGGAAGAGGTAGATCTGGCTGGAAATGGAATCAATTTTCAGGCAATTTCTTTCTTTCTTTTTTTAAAAAATATTTTTATTTTTATTTATTTCTAGGAGAGAGAGAGAGAGAGACAGCGTGAGCAGGGGAGGGTCAGAGAGAGAGGGAGACACAGACTGAAATAGGCTCCAGGCTCTGAGCTGGCAGTCAGCACAGAGCCCGACGTGGGGCTCGAACCCACGAACCGCGAGATCATGACTTAAGCGAAAGTTGGACGCTTAACCGACTAAGCCACCCAGGCTCCCCAATTTTCAGGCAATTTCTAAGACCATTCTTTGTAAAAACACTTTTGTAATTGGTTGTATTTTAAAAAATGCTTTATTTATTTCTGAAAGAGAAAGAGAGAGAGAGAGAGAGTGAGCAGGGGAGGGCCAGAGAGAGAGGGAGACACAAAATCTGAAACAGGCTCCAGGCTCTGAGCTGTCAGCACAGAGCCCTATGCGGGGCTCAAACCCACGAACTGTGAGACCATGACTTGAGCTGAAGTCGGACGCTTACCCGACTGAGCTACCCAGGCACCCCTGTAATTGGTTGTTTTAAACCTGTTTCCCTGATGGGCTTTGAGCTCCTGGAAGGCAGAGATTTATGCCTGTCTCATTCATGCTGTGTGCTGAGTGCTTAGAACAGTGGCCGGTACACAGCTGCTGCTCAATAACGAAGACCTCACTGAGAAAGTAGGTCTGGAGCAAAGACCAGAGGGAGGTGAGTGAGCTACGAAGGTACTTAGGGCAGAGGAAACAGCAAATGCATAAAGGACCCAGGGGCTGGACCACACCTGGTGGTTTTGTGGAATTACGAGGTGGCCAGTGTGGTTGGAGCAGAGGGCACAGGGGAAGGAGGGGGACGTGAACATGGCCAGATTGGTGTAGGACTGGCTAGACTACTGTCACATCTCAGCTTCTATTGGAGAATAACAGGAGCCGTCGGGGAGGCTGAGCACAGACAGCACACAGTGCGACTGAGGTTTAGCAGATCCTCTGGTCAGAAGATGAATGGTCTCAGAGGAGTAGAGGTAGGATAAATTTCTGGATTAGGAATTGCTGTGTTGATGTGTATGTGCATTTTAAAAAATTTTTTTAATGTTTATTTTTGAGAGTGAGAGACAGCGCGAGCATGGGAGGGGCAGAGAGAGAAGGAGAACCAGATTCTGAAGCAGGCTCCAGGCTCTGAGCTGTCAGCACAGAGCTTGACACGGGGCATGAACTCTGGAATTGCAAGATCATGACCTGAGACAAAGAGGGACGCTTAACCACATGAACCACCCAGGCGCCCCAAAGTGTATATGCATTTTTATAATATATTATTAAGTATAATAGAGACAGAAAAGCACAAATATCATAAGTGTGCACTCTGATGAACTATTGCAAAGTTAACATCCCACTAGTATGAAAAATGTTTATGCATTTTTAATCCCAATAGTGCCCAGTTTTCTCAAATGTTAAGCTTTTTGAAGTCTCACTTACAATTCCTTGTACATGCCTCGATTATAACATCTCTCACAGTCTCAACGTGGGGCACACATTCTTTCTTATCTTTAACTGCCCACCTTGCCTGCACTGTATCAGACCTGGGCTAGGTCCCAGAGCTGTAGAGATTAATACAATGACTTCCTTACCAGCCAAGGGCTTTCTGGAATCAAAGGTAATGATCATTTTTAAAAATTAAGGTGACCCTTTTGGAAAGATATGATTTTTCTCTTTTCCACTTATATGGATGTGAACCCACTTCCCCAACACACTCTGCTGAAGGATTTCATCTTGTTCAGGAAAAAGTAAGATGTCTTAGCAGTAGACACAAGATGAAAGCAAATTAGCAACATTCAAGTTTTAATTACAAAACTAGATGTTTGGGTTTCCAGCAAGATAAGAATCTTGAAAGAAAGCCTTATGAGAGGAGTGAGTTTGGGGGATCTAGTATACAGCATGGTGACTCTAGTTAACAATACTGTCCTAGAGGGGCACCTGGGTGACTCATTCGGTTAAGCGTCCAACTTTGGCTCAGATCTCGGTTCATGATCAGGTCTGAGTTTGAGCCCCGGATCAGTCTCTCTGCTGACAGCCCAGAGCCCACCTCAGATCGTCTCTCTCTGTCCCTCCCTTGCTCATGCATGTGCACACACACACAAACTCTCTCTCTCAAAAAAAATCATTAAAAACAAAACAATAGTGTAGTACTTGCTTGGTAGTTGCTATGAGTAGATCTCAAAAAGCTTCAACAACAACAATAACAAAAAAAGGTGATGAAGATGTTAGTGGACACTGTGCTGGTAATCATTTCTCAATATATGTGTGTATCAAGTCAACATGTATGCATCTTAAACTTACACAGATTGTTATATATCAGACATAATTCAAAAAAACAGTTTTCTGGAGCCAGGTTTGGAGGACTGGAAGGTAAGAGTTTTCATTAAGCCGTGGTGTAAGGCAAATACCTATCACAAGGGAAGAGAAAAAACTATGGGAAGCTAATAAAGAGAGGAGGTGAGAAGGACCTATCAGAACATCTGTTCCTCTGCCACCTCACCTCAGAAAATCCATGTAATGGGTGAATTTAGGGGTATCAAGAGTAGGGGCTGACTTCTCCCAACAGAAGGCAGGTAGGGTTTCCCAGTTAGAAGAGAAGCTTGTTTTCTGCGGCTATCACATCCAACAAGGTGTGAGAGCCAACAATTAGAACCTGCAGAGGGAAGTAGCTAGTAGGTAGTTCTAAGAAAGCTCTTTTTGTTTCCTACAGCATGAACACAGAAAGCAAAAGCTCTTGTATGGACCCCTGGGGGCTGCAGAGCTGCTGAGAGGAGAATGACACAAGCAAGGTGGGCCATGCTCTACCAGTAGACAAAACACCCCAGATAAAACACCCCAACCAGAGTCTACCTTCCACAGCCACAAGATCCTAGAAGTTGCCCCTATACCAATATCCAGCTGCCATCTTGGGAGGGTAGGAAATTGGAAAAATTAACTGTTTGTACAACATAGACTGAGTTTCCCAGAGAAGGCTGAGCCAGGAAACTGAGACACTGAGAACACTACGAACTGGCAATATTTTTCCTTCCATCCAGCAGGAGCTTAGATGGAAGAAGGAAACAATACATTTTAAAAATGCAGTCCCACCACACTACCATTTATGAAGCTCTTATCACATGTACCAGGTGGTTAACCAAGTTACCTCTTTTTTTTAAAATAATTTTTTTTATTTATTATTTCCAGGAGAGAGTAAGAGTGAGCAGGGGAGGGTCAGAGAGAGAGGGAGTCACAGACTGAAACAGGCTCCAGGCTCTGAGCTGGCAGTCGGCACAGAGCCCGACGCGGGGCACGAACCCACAAACCGCGAGATCATGACCTAAGTGAAAGTCGGACGCTTAACCGACTAAGCCCCCCAGGCGCCCCCCAAGTTACCTCTTTTGATTTAAGCTTCCAACATCCCCGTAGATGGGAACCTTTGGTATCTGTATTTCACAGCTGAGGAAAGTGACAATCAGAGCGGTTTTGTGTGCGTTATCTGAGGTCACACAGTGAATGCAAGACCACATAGGTAAGAGCATAGAGCAGGAACTAGGAGACCCAGATATTATTTATCCCTTTCTCTGGCACTAAGTAACTCCCAGCAAGTGTTCAGCTGCAGCTCAGCCTCCTAGGACACAAGGGTCTCCTCCCCAGAAAACACCCTCCCGCACATTGAGCATATGGATTCTCTTTGACCAACTTACCAGTTGTTGATTCTGTTGAGAAAATACACGATCTGCATAAACCACAAAGCCCTATAAACAAAGAAAAGAAAAATACCATGAACCATCAAGAAGCAATGTGGGCTCAATATGACAAAGTATTCCAGTTCTGATGAGTCAATATGAGAGATCCAACTGAGTGACACACAATATTTCATATAATGTTCACAGAAGCCATTCCTGCTCTTTTGCACTTTATGGTTTTCATTTTGTTTGTATCATCTTAATTTTCTTTTCAATGACAGAACAAAAACGTTCCAGCTGATTTTCAAAAACATACATTAAGACATGTACTCTCAAAAGAAAAATGACGTCTCCCCCAAGTGGGCAAAACTTGGCTCTTGGGGAGAGATGGGAAAAAATCTTACTTTTAAAAAATAAGACATATAGGGGCACCTGGGTGGCTTAGACGGTTAAGCGTCTGACTTTCACTTAGGTCATGATCTCACGGTTCGTGGGTTTGTGCCCCGCGTCAGGCTCTGTGCTGACTGCCAGCTCAGAGCCTGGAGCCTATTTCAGAGTCTGTGTCTCCCTCTCTCTCTGACCCTCCCCTGCTCGCACTCTCTCTCTCTCTCTCTCCTAGAAATAAAAAAAAATATTAAAAAATAAGACATATAGAAATGTTACATATATTATATAAATAGATGTATAGTATATCTGTAGCATTAAAATAGCATGAGTGGTCAGATGGTTAGATTTTTAAAAATTTCCTAGGAGCACCTGGGTGGCTCAGTCAGTAAAGGTCCGACTCTTGATTTCAGCTCAGGTCATGATCCTAAGGTTCCTGAGTTTGAGTCTTTTTAAAATTATTATTACAATGTTTTATTTATTTCTGAGAGAGAGAGAGAGAGAGAGAAGAGAGAGTATGAACAGGGGAGGGTCAGAGAGAGAAGGGGACACAGAATCTGAAACAGGCTCCAGGCTCTGAGCTGTCAGCACGGAGCCCAACACAGGGCTCGAAACCACGAACCGTGAGATCATGACCTGAGTCGAAGTCAGACGCTTAACTGACTGAACCACCCAGGCGTCCCATGAGTTTGAGTCTTGAGTAGGATTCTCTCTCCCTAATCCTCCTATACATGCAAACATATGGTAGCTGTCCTTCTCTGCCTGACTTATTTCGCTCAGCATAACACCCTCAAGGTCCATCCATGTTGCTACACATGGCCAGATTTCATTATTTCTCATTGCCATGTAGTATTCCATTGTATAGATAAACCACATCTTCTTGATCCATTCCTCCGTTGATGGACAGTGAGGCTCTTTCCATGTTTTGGGTATTGATGAGAGTGCTGCTATGAACATTGGGGTACATGTGCTCCTATGCATCAGCACTCCTATATCCCTTGGGTAAATTCCTAGCAGTGCTACTGCTGGGTCATAGGGGAGTTCTATTGTTAATTTTTTAAGGAACCTCCACACTGTTTTCTAGAGGGGCTGCACCAGTTTACATTCCCACCAACAGTGTAGGAGGGCGCCCGTTTCTCCACATCCTCGCCAGCATCTAGAGTCCACTGATTTGCTCATTTTAGCCACTCTGACTGGCATGAGGTGGTATCTCAGTGTGGTTTTGGTTTATATTTCCCTGATGAGGAGGGATACTGAGCATTGTTTCATGTGTTTGTTGGCCATCTGGATGTCCTCTTTGGAGAAGTGTCTGTTCATGTCTTCTGCCCATTTCCTCACTGGATTGTTTGCTTTTCAGGTGTGGAGTTTGGTGAGTTCCTTATAGATTTTGGATACTAACCCTTTATCTGATATGTCATTTGCAACTATCTTTTCCCATTCCATCAGTTGCCTATTAGTTTTATGGATTGTTTCCTTTGCCGTGCAGAAGCTTTTAATCTTGATGAGGTCCCAAAGTTTATTTTTGCTCTTGATTCCCTTGCTTTTGGGGATCATGGGGGAGAAGAAGGGAGGAAATAGTGGGGGAGAGGGAGGAAGGCAAACCATGAGAGACTCTTGAATGCTGAGATCAAACTGAGGACTGATAGGTGTGGAGGGAGGGGGGTGATGGACATGGAGGAGGGCACTTGTGGGGATGAGCACTGTGTGTTGTATGGAAACTAACTTGACAATAAACTATTTTTTTAAAAAAAGGATTCTCTCTCCCTCCCTCTCTGCCTCCTCTCCTGTGCTCTCTATCTCTCAAAAATAAACAAACTTTTAAAAAATTGGCTAAAAGGCAGTGCAGTCCCCTGCACTTAGCTTTTTTCCAACATTACAACCCCCACCTCCACAACCCCCACAACCATCACCCTCTCAACCACCAATGACGTCATTACCACCTTTTGCTGATTAAATTAAGAATAAGAAGCACTAGAGCTAATACCAGGGCAGACAGGCCAAAGCAACAACTTGGCATTCCTGCATGTGGAGTCCACGAGTTACCTGCTCCTTCTAATGAAGCCTCCCAGTCAGCAGGTCCCACAGCCCCAAAATCCCAACATTCCCGTTTATTATCACCAGCTGAAATTCTCTTGCTTGTTAATTATTTTAGAGGCAACAGAACATCATTTTTCAGCATGCCAACTCTGGAGTCAAAATGCTTGAGCTTAAAAATCTGGCTTCATGAATTACTGAATGCATGGCCTTAGGAAAGTTATTCACTCTCTTTGGGCTTAAGTTTTCTCTTCCACAAATAGATGCACTGGACCCCAGGCGGGGAAACCTGCACCTATTGCTTGAAACACTATCCCATATTCATAGATTTGAACCAGTGACCAACACTTGAAAGACAGGAAGAAAACCAGAACAGAGACAATAAACAAGACCAATACAAACTGACAACTGAGGAAAGGAAAATAAGAGACAGGAAGGCTCCATCACATGGCTCGGGCTCAGCACAAATATCACCTCCTCGGAGAGGCCTTCCCTGACTTCTACCTTCAATATAACCCCCAGTCACTCTCTTCTTTGATAGCACTATCGCTGTCTGAAATGCTTTTGTGTGGTTATTATTTGGAATAGGATAGCATAGTGATAAAGTGTAGTACTTATTAGCTAAGTAGTCTTGGGAAAATCATTTAATCTCTTTGGCCTCAGTTTCCTCCTTGGTAAAATGAGGCTATTAGGAACCCAATATTGCAGGAGGTTGGTGAAGACATTTGAGGAACTTACAACGGTGCTAATGGGTGTTTGCTGTTCCTGTAAGTGGCTTCTCTTCTGCCTGACCTTCCTACTATGAAACCAGTCTCATGACTGCAAGGAATACATGTCAAAGAGATGACTACAAAGAAAGTCTAGACTGACAGGCGGAATTCCGTATGCAGAGTGATTTTTGTCAAAGGTCTTACAAAGAAGGTGTTGGTAGTGTCCAGCCTAGGATTGGGGTCCCTGGCTGGTTTCCCCACGGCCTTCCCTTTTCCCTGGACCTTATTTCCAGTCCAGGCTTCCCCCAGCCCTCCCACAACCATTCAGCCCACACTCACCCCATAAGAGGAGCAAGCTGAGGTTCCTCATGGTCCCGTGTGTCTGTCATTCAAGGAAGGGAACCTCTTCTTCGTTCTCTGGGTTTTCAATAGCAGAGGATATGGGGAGAGAATAGGGGTGGAGCCAGAATTGCTCAACGCCACCAGGGCAAGACAGCCCTTCTTGCTGAATTTTTCTAGATGAGGACAGTGTGGCAAACCCCTAATTTTCTCTTTCCACACTCATGAAGAGAAGTTGATCTGGCTGGTGTGTTGCTGTGTTCTTGCTCTCCAGTCTCTCTCCTTCCCCCCATCTCTTGCTTTTTTCTTTCCCCACCAGGACTGACTTCTCAGCCTTCTTTCCCTGTACCTCCAAGTGACCTACCATCATCTGTCCCCAGCAAAGCGAAGACCGGACTCAAAGGGCTCTTCCCAGCCAACCCCACACAGCAGCCATCACTGACCAGGTGCCATCCTAGACACACAGCCAACAAAATTCAATTTCATCATCACATCCACATCATCGAGTAGAGATTCTGACCCCTAGACATCTTACAACGACAACCAACATTAAAATTAAAAAAGAGAGCAAGGCATGGAGAGGGTGTGTGTGACTTGTCCAAGGTCACTTGGAGTTGAGATTCGAATCCAGATCCTCTGGCTCCAAGGCCTTGCCCTTGAGCCATTCCATCTGCCTCCAGGTCTCCTACATGTGACCCCAGCACAGCAGCACCTCCAACCCTGTGTGCATGATCTCACGCACACAGAGGTCTGGTAATGCCTCACCAGTGTCCCCAGAAGCCGATGCTGAGACTGGGATTCTAGTGAAAGTTGTTTACCAGGGAGATGACCCCAGAAAACCTCAGCTGGGGAGGGGAGCAGGGAGATGGGGGCAGGAAAGGGTCCCTAGTGGCCACGTATTCCAGGAAGTTGCACAGTGAGAAACTGGAGAATCATGTCACCAGGATCTCTGAAAGGCAGCCCAGAACATTCTCAGTTACCCCAACTGAGAAGCAAGGGAGCTGGGGTATGTATCCGCTGGGTACTGCCAGTCACAGATTGAGGCTTGCATCAACCCACAACACCTTGGGCCTGGCCTCCAAACAGAGAGAATGGGGTAACCTGAGTGTAAGCCTGTCAAGTGACAAATATCAGTCTAGTGTGCCCTGAGGGGTTCAGGGTCATGGGTGTGTGTTGGCACCAAAAGCATCTACCACAGGCTAAAAATGAGGCACAAAAGACAATCCCACATTCTTGGGAAGAAAAGCGCCATGTGTTTCTGCATTCTCCCATTTGCTCCATGCAAAGCAAAGTACCCCCCTTGGAGGTATGATCACTGAGAAGACTCATCAACAGCCCACTATATGTGCATCAGGGACCCTGGCCAGTGAGGCTGCAGAAACACAGCAAGCTCCAAGGAAGAAGATAAACAAGAGGTGTGTTGTGTTGCAGAGAAGCCCTGGGGGATAAACAGACTCTAGAGCCAAATCACCAGGAGTTCGAATCCCATATCCTCTGCTTGCTAGTCATGTTCTTAATCTCTCTGTGCCTCAACATTCCCATTGGTAAAGTGGGCCCAATAATCATAGACTCCACTTCGTAGGGCTAATGTGTACATCTGAGGAGCAGGCACACGTGACGTGTCTACAACAAAGCCTGGCGTGCAGGAAAAACTCAAGCGTTGGTATGACAGCCACAAGAGCTAGAATCAGACCTAGGATCAAGTCCCGACTCCAATGTGTTCTCATAGTGACTTTGGCAAGTCACTTGCCTCTCTGGGTCTCAATTTCTTCATCTGGAGAATGAGGATAACATCAGGCCATGACCCAAAGGATCGCTGAGGAGGGTGTGCTATAAGGTAGGGCAATACCGCCAACTGGGTGCAATTTCTGGGACTTGCATGTTCCTCTCTAACCCTTGTTCCGTGCATCCAGAGTGTGGACACTAGAGGCAGACAGAGAAATGCAGTGGCTTTAACTCCCATTCACAGGTTCTTTGATACTCTTCCCTTCAAGAGGGAGAGCTCTCCTTGGGTGTGCGCTGGACTTCTTCAACAGGACAAGGAGCGTGTGATACTGTGGCATCTGAAGCATCTGAGGTGAGAGAATCACTGTGGCTTCCTACTTGCTCTCTCCTTGTGGGATCATTCACCAGGGGAAGCCAGCCACCCAGCATGAGGAGGAAATGAGGTTTGTGGTCAATGGCTTGCCTGGGACCTCCTGGGGGAACCCTGATCCAGAACCACCCAGCTGAGCCACCTCCAGATTCCCAGACCCTCAGAAACTATAAGAAAATACAACCTTGTTGTCTAAATCTTCCAATGTTGGAGTGGAAGGGTATGCAGACAGAGACAACTGGTCTACCTAGAAGCAATTTTCCCCATTAGCAAAAGGAGGACAACACCAGCTTCACAGGGTTTGAGGTTTAATGTAATGAAAGCACAAAATCATGTCTGGCACAGATTAAATGCTTAGTAAAATTTGCTGGTATTACTGTCATTATTCTCTTGTTATACTAGATTGTCATGGCTACTCATAGGAGCCCTTGTACCAGCGAATGTCTGAACAGGAGAAGTCAGCAAAGATCCTTTCATGCAAAACCTTCTAAAGTAGGTGAGTTTGGACTTGATCCTCAGGGCATCAGAAGGAATTTCAGCAAGGCTGAGGGGCAGACTGGGGCTTTACATTAGCCATGCCCTGGACCCAGCAGGAGCCCCCTCCCCTGGGAAGGCTGGGGCTGCATCCAGAGGAGAGAAAAGTGAGATGGCCTGGTCTAGGGCAGGGGCTATGGGGACAGAGAGGAAGTCAGGAAGCCAGAACAGCAGAACTGGGGAACGCCTGTGGGGGTGGGGGGAGTCTGAAACAAAAGTAGTTAACATTCAGAATGGGGGGGGCGAGGCCATGTGACTTCTCTGCCCCACCCCACCCCCACCATAGCAAAGCACACAAACAGCTGCTTGAAATGACACAGATAAATTACATTGCAAGTCTGGAAGTCAGAATCCCAAGGGAGTCTTAGGGGCCTGAAATCAAGATGTCAACGGAGCCACATTCCTTCTAGAGGCTCAAGGGGAAATCTATTCCTTGTCTTTTTCAGCCTCTGGAGTCTTCCCCATCCCTCGTCTCAAGGTCCCTTCCTCTGTCTTCACAGCCAGCAGTAGAGCATCTTCTGAACCCCCTCCCTCCCTCTACCTCTTTCATGGTCTCTGACCTTCCTCCCTCCCTCTTAAAAGGGCCCTTGTGATTGCATTATATCCACTTGTCCAGACTATCCTGAATAATCCCCCATCTTGAGATCCTTAACTTAATCCTGACTGCAAAGCCCCAGTTTACTGTGTAAACAGTAATCACAGATTAAAAGGATTTGGATGTGGATAAGGTGGCAGTGGGGGGAGGGGATGTTGGGGGAGCCTCATTATTCTACTGACAGATGGGGTCTGGGATCCTGGTCGGGGATGGAGGAACACAAGATGCCAGGCACCCTTTATTAAACCCCAAACAGTTGACCAAGGCTATGCAATCTGCACTTCAGAGAGATCCTCCAGGTCTGGGGACAGCCTCAGAGGGAGAAGAGGAAGGATGGGGGTAGAGGAAATGTAGTTTCTACCCACATGACTTGTGTAAGCCTGACCCCATAGGTCTTTCCCAGCAGAGGAGAAAACAGGGGACATTCAAGATTGAAGAAATCAGCTTAGAAGAACCCCAGAGGCATTGTTCCTGCTAACGTGGAGTATGTTACCTCCTGAATGTGGCGGGGCTACCATAGGAACAGCCTATACTCTCAAGCCTCCCAGGGCTCCCTATTACCTTCAGGAGGAACTCCACGCTCACTAACAGGGTACTCAAGACCCTACCTAGTCTTATACTGGTCTCCCCCACTGGCCTCATTTCTCCCATCCCCCCAAAAACTTAGTCATCCTAGACCAGCTAAAGCCCTCCTGGTGGGCACTGGCGATGCCCTACAACCTCCTTTAGCAGCTGTGAGTGCTGCCTGCGAACAGCTCCCCACTCCCTCTGGCCTTGTACCTGCACAAAGTCTGACATAACCCAGCCCATAGTGACAGAGCTGCAAAAGCCCAGCCCCTCGGTGAGATCAATGCAGGGCATCCCTTAGGCTCCAGATTCCCCATGGGATCAGGCTGAGGCTAGATTCCAACTCCTTCTGAAGGGGCAAAGGCAAGAGAAATGCAGCTTAAATTAAATCTTCTTCGAGCTTTTCCGCCCGCACCTGAAACATGCACAGTGTGACCTTCCTAGAGGGACTCAGGGCTGTCTTACTGCCTTTGTGTTTTGTTTTATTAAAGACTAAAAGTAACCTTATCTTAACAGTAGCAAGCCCCTCGAGGTTCCAAAAGCCTTGCTTCCAAACTTCTTAGAGACTTACGCAATCCTTAACCCCCAAGTGTATAATCGGTCACTCCTCACAACCCCAGTGCAGCTCTTTCTGCTCACGGCTCCCATCTCCATGCTAGAATTAAATCACCTTTCTGCACCAAAGAGGTCTCAAGAATTCTTTCTTGGCCATTTGCTCACATGTCCCGCTGCATAATTTTGGTGCCCTTATGTGGGCATAAGAGTCTTTTCATCGGGAATCTGAGCCCCGGGGCAAACCTGGCGAGTACTTTTTCTTCTCCTTCGTTACTCTCATTTCAGGGCCCTTTCGAGGAGTATGGTCTTAGTGGAACACTTTCATGTCGACTGCTCAAGCTGCAAGCCTCTAGCCCATGGCTACTCTATGAGGAGGAGAAAAGGCAGAAAGTTAGAGGCCCTGGCCAGACTGGTAATAAGACCCAGAAAGCTGATGCCCTCTCTTTATTCCAATTCTTTTTTTTTTAATGTTTTATTTATTTCTAGGAGAGAAAGAGAGAGCGTGAGCAGGGGAGGGTCAGAGAGAGAGGGAGTCACAGACTCTGAAACAGGCTCCAGGCTCTGAGCTGGCAGTCAGCACAGAGCCCGACGCGGGGCTCGAACCCACGAACCGCGAGATCACGATCTAAGTGAAAGTCGGACACTTAACCGACTAAGCCACCCAGGCGCCCCTCTTCATTCCAATTCTTATACAAAGTTGTCTGTCTTAAGTCACCAG